TGCGTCAACAGCGGCCTGTTTCTGTTGGTCCCATTTCAGTTGGTAACAGTCTAGAGGGGGGGTGAATAGACTGTTATGCGTTTTGAAATTTTTCTCTAAGTCAGAGTTGACTTATCAGAGAGGGTCGAGTTCTGATGATCAGAACTGGGTCTTGCAGCGGATAAGAGTTCCGGGTAGCCTCAAGAGAAACTAAGGCAAATGCCTTTCTGATAACTCTGAGAACAAGATCTGCTGAACACAGAGTCCAAGTTCTATGGAGTTAAACAGTTAGAGTCTAAGTGCAGGAATTAAAGTGCAGTAAAGTAAATGACACCGGAGATTTTATAGTGGTTCAAGGAACAACGCGTTCCTCTAGTCCACTGTTCCACTAAGATTGTAAAGCGTCAGTTACAATTCCTTAGTCCCTAGCACTTAAGAAGTTCTCCACGTCTTCTTCAAGTCTAGTTGTCACCCGGGATGCAGTCCTGCTTCCTGATGACTGGTCCTTTCACTCAGCTTCCCGGAAGTATCACCACTTCACTACTGCAGTTACTTGGATGCCCTTCTTTGCAGAAGATGTTCTAAGAACAGAGTTTTTCTCCAACTTGCTTCGTTACAAAAGATGTAGAAACGAAGTTCTTGAAGTGTTGAAGAACTGGATGAACTTTGCTCTTGGTTGGGATTGAGAGATTTGAATATTTAATCTTCCCAACGTAAGCTTTTTCTTGTAGAAGGATATGAAGATTGAATCTCAAGAGAGCTTGTAGAATGGTTGTAGGAAGCAAAAGTTGTAGCAAAGTTGTCCAGTTGTTCTTCATCGAGTATCTTTTATACTGGAGTTGTCTGCCCGTTGGAGGAGGAGACAACTGCATTGAATGCGCATACTGTGGAGTTGACCGGTTGGACCCGCAGTTTTGGCAGGTTTCTATTTTTGTATAATATTCTCCAGGAATCTCGGTCAATCATCTGCAATAACTCCACAGCGTATCAGGCTCATTAAATGAGCATTAAATGCTTTCCTTTGATGAAATATCTCCTAGCCGTTAGAGGATTTTCCGTTTGTTATACGGCCGTTGAAAGCGGCTTCGAAATCTTCTAAGTGTTTATCCAGGTCTGATGAGATTCTCTGATGGCATTCTGACCTTGGATTCTGATGAACTTAGATAGGGAACTCTGATACTTGTCTGATGTTGAGTTCTGATGAAGCTTTACGTCGAACTCTGATGGTTCTCTGATGTTGACTTCTGATGAGTCTCTGAAGAGCAACTCTGATGCTTCTCTGATGAGCAACTCTCATGACTTCCCGAGAGCGACTCTGAGAACAGTTCTCATAGAGCAGCTCTGATCAGATCCACATAGCAACTCTGTCAGTCGACTATACTAATACTTACAACTGAAAATTCTAATACATAAAATCTAAGTAGGGGTACTCTAAAATTCTAATCTAATTATCCTAGCATCATCAAAATCTAATTACATTTATTCCTTACAGTTTCTTCTTCGGCGCCGCCCTAGATTTCTTCTTCCTATTGCCGGGAGCGACCCTCAGAGGCTCCGGGTTCAGCGACCGAGAACAACTTGCTTCCCCAACATTCGAAGGCAGCACAGCGACAGTGACCTTCACCCTTTCCTTCTCCCCCTCCTCCTCAGCAACTTGAAGGGCGAGGGCCATCTCTTCGTCTTCGACCACCTGCTCGAAGTCCTCGGCTTCGGCCTCAGCATGGAGGTTGCTTTGCACTTCCCTCGCCACTTCCAAGTCGTTGTTGGACGAAGCCTGCACACTTGAGGACTCCACCTCGGAGACGCTCTCAGACTGCATCGGGACCTCCTCCGAAATAGTTTGGGAGTCATTTTCGGAAGACATATTCTCAACAGGGGAAGGGGTTCTAGCCGAAGGCTCCTAAAGATTCCCTAACACTAGATCTAAGGCCGGAATAGCAAAGTATACTGAGTATGCAAAGAGCAGGTAAAGAACTGACCTTAAGATATGACTTTGATCGAAGGAAAGGGTTTCTCTCTCTAGAAATATTGGCAGAGCTCCGCTATCTCTCAAAATCGCACAAGGGAAATGAACTCGGCCCTGGGGTATTTATAGGCTCCCAGCCTCGAAGAACGGGCCTCGGTTTGAAAAGCCCATCATTACGGGCCGCCGGTTCAACCAATGGATGGCTCCCGCCCACCTTTAGCCAACGCCTGCCTGCCACGTCGACCCCCCCCCCCCCCCTCCAACGGCTCTTTTCCAACGGCTCTATTTTGGAAACCATTGAGGCATCCTCAGATGATAGCCTCCGACTATCACTTACTAGAGCCTTCGGTAAACAACTTTTACCAAGTGCTCTCGAGCAAGCAGCAGTATAAGCCTTCGGCTTGTCAATGTTGCCACTCACCAGAATTTATTCTTGTGAGACATACTATAGCAAGCAGCAGTATAAGCCTTCGACTATCATCCACGGGAGCCTCCGGTGAACATATGTCACCTGACACCTTCGAGCAAGCGGCAGTATAAGCCTGCAGCTTATCAATGTTGGCACTCCTCGGTCAATGGCACCCCTCGGGGTTACACGCAAACATCATAACTCCTTCAGCCCGAACTTGCCTTCGGTCTAAAGGAGTGGGGGACTGGGTTACACCCCTCGGGAATCACACGGAACTAAAAATTCCCAAATGCCAAAATCTACAAGTAACACATACAGCCTTCGGGCAAACATCAAAAGAGGACCCCTCGGGTACATACACCTATACACCTTTCGGCAAAAGCAGAATGTCAAAAACTTTCCACAAAGTCGCTTGCAATGATGAAGGAGCCTTCATCACAAACACATACAACTCATCAACCCTTCCCTCAGAAAACCCCCGACATGTGGGGGACTGAGGGAAAGACCTCGGCAAATATCAGCACAGCTCTCCGGTAAAGCGTAAGCCTTCGGCAGAGCCAGCGCGTTGACATAATTACTCCTTTTCCCTCAAGTACCTCTCGGCAAAAGGAGTGGGGGACTCCTGATGGAGTATATGGCCCAGGGACCCCCGACCCATAGACTCCTACTTCTCCTACACAGGCCCATTGAGCCCAAGGAGCGTTCGAGGCCCAAATACAGCGGCCCAAGTCTCAAAGAAGCCCAAAATACACATTGGGGTGCCTTCGGGCTCCTTGGCTGAGGGCTCCGAATTACACAGGGCAGCCAGATTCGAGCATGCAAAGCTACTGGGAGAAAATGGCAGAAAACAGGAGCCTTCGGCACTTTGATGCCTTCGGCTACACAAGCCTTCGGCCGCAGGGGGGAGCCAACAACTCAATCATCGAAGATTCCCTTTGGAGACAAGCAACCACCGCATTTAATGCAACGTCACGTCCACCCACCGCATTCAATGCGGTGCACATGCAATTGCCAGTGCCACCCGGTTGAGGTGACCCCTCGGCCGTTAGATTATCGCCATGTGTACTCTCATCACATTTATTACTACTATAAATAGCAGCCCCTTTCCCCATTGTAAAGGACCAGAACATCTCGAGTTCATAAATATAATCTCCTCTCTCTCCTACTTGTTTGCTCTGACTTCTCTCTAGGTTATTCCCGCAATAACCCTTCGGATAAGCTACCCCGGGTACACTGTCCATCACATATATACAATAAAGTAGTCTATGTAATTTGCTAGTCTACGTATCTAATGGATAGACTCCTACCCCTATACAGTGCTACATAGCTGGCTAAAATGAAGAGATAAAGCCGTACAAGAAAATAAAATATTACTTGAATTTGGAGTAATAAACAAATGATTTATACCGAAGGCATACCCCTATATTATTGCATTTTAAATTTCCAGTAAATTTATTTGGTACAAAAATTGTACATTATCAATTTGTCACTTCGGAGTTGTTGATAAATCTACAAATCTTATACTTAAAAGAGAAAGTTGCATAACTAATTGAACAACCAAAAAAGTTAGTAAAATTTTAGGGGACTAACGGAATAATTCTTTTATATCGTAATGATAGGTGTGAGATCATTTAATTCAAAAACTGTACTTCATAAGTTAAGATGTCTATCATTATTATTAGTTTATTATCGAGTGTGGAGGGAAACCATGCACTGAAAAAAGTCATGATATAAACCGACGGAGAAAATCTAAGCATATGTACGCTTACAGATGTCATGTAAGTCAGCATCAGGGAACAGGCTTAATGGAGGACATGCATATGATGTCTTAACTCTTAATGCTCAGATCATAGGAATAATTCTTTGTCAAATGTGAATGGGACACGTATTTGACACTTCAAAAAGAAATCCCTGAATAATGCATTCTTTACCTGATTCGTAAAAAAAAATATAATGCATATATTTTCTTTTATCTAGTTCAAGGCATAAATGTGGACTAAATCAAAAGTAGGATAGACAAAGGTGTGTTTGATAAAGACGAAGGTGTGCAAGCCGTGCGCATGTGCCGCGCACGCCATGTGTGCAAGAAGATTATGCGAAAAAGCTATTGGACGCTGCGTGATAGTATCGATTTTTCATCATTATTTATGTTTTCATTTTTAATTAGTTTTTAGGGTATGCTATTGTGGTAATTGCACAGTTACAATGCAACCATTTACTTTTCTAATTTATTGTAATTTATTAGTTTTAGAGGATTCTGAGTTTAGATTAATTAGTCTACAACAGAGCATGGAAAGATCATACAAGATCAAATGAAGGTGTAAGGGAGAAAGAATTCATGCAAGAAATTTAATTTGGTAACATACCCGGTCAAGTATGATTCGACGATGAGATCATACATGGTCAAATAAGGCAAGAGAACGTGGGAAAATCAAATTTGCATTGGTCATATACCCGAACGGGTATATTGACATACTCAGTCGGGTATGACTAAATTTCCGCACTTTCGTAGCTACTGAGGATACCCGGTCGGGTATCTTAGGAAATTGCCTAGAAAGTCACTTTTCTGGGCATACCCGATCGGGTATGTCGGCATACCCGATCGGGTATGTGACAAATCTTCACGAAAATTTGCTCCCACGATCATTTGTTCCCGGATTTGATTTGGACAATCGAATCAAGCAAATAACCGATCGGGTATAGGCAATACCCGACCGGGTACATGAGCATTTTTTCCAAATCGAAATCGTTCTTGTCTCCTTGCACTTTTCTTGATCTTTTAAGGTCCAATCTTGATCCCTTGGATGATCTTTGACTTGTTTAACTCAAAATAGTCCTAATCTAAACAAATTACAAATAATTATGAAAATAAAATATTACACCAAAAGTGTGTAATTTCCACAACTAAAACTAATAAAAACTAGTTAAAAATACAAACATACAATCGGAAATTACACGAATATCAACTCTCCCACACTTAGCTTCTTTACTCGTCCTCGAGTAAAGTCAAATGTTTAACATTTCCAAGTTCTAAAAAGTTCAACAATCAACAAGAAAAAGCAAAAGACCACCAAGGATAAAACATGAGTTTTATATTGAGTGTTTTGCTCAACGAACAATATCGTCTTGGGTTTCATGGCCTTCTATGGTCATCTGTTTTCTTCTCCTCTTTTCATTTCTAAGAGATTAAATGATGTCCTGCAAAAACAAATTTATCTCTCATATATCTCATTTTGCCTAGGAGCCTTTTCAGGTTTTCATCCTAGCATCTCTTTATATTTTTCCATCCTTTCCACTCACTCATTTTTTTAATAAGCCATTTTTGCTTAGATTGCCCGTTTTTGGGTTTTCAACCTAACTATCATTTCTTTTCTTTTCTTTTTTCTTTTTATTTTTTTTAATAATTTTTTTTTCATTTTTGTTTTGTGTGTGAAGAAAATAATGCCAGTTACAAGGTATCAAACTTAAGTACGTACCAATGAGTGACTCCTCCTCACTTAGCTCGAAACATTGTCCCTAGTGCTCGTCTCTGTCATAATTGGGCTAAAACGAACATCCTCGTAGTCTTGAATTGGCCCCCTTGCAGTTGAGCTTTCTCCCCTATCTCTCTTCGGTGCCATTGATTCTCTGTTGGAAGCTTGAAATTCAGATTTGGGGCTAGGAGGTAGGGTTTCGGTTTTTTGGTAATCATGAGGGGAGATGGATTTTTTTTTTGGGGTGTTTTATTGTAAAGGATTTTGAGGGGAGTGATTTGGTAGTAGTTTGGATGAATTTGGGTGAGTAATGAGGGAGAAATTGAAGAAAGAAGATTGAGAAATGGGGGATTTTGGAGAGGGAGTTCAAAAATGTGGGGGTGGAGAAGATGAAGTGACGGGTTTGGGGAAGCAGAAGTGGCTGATTTGGGGGTCAGATTCGGGTATAAAGCTCGTGTACCCGACCAGGTACCCCAATATACCCGATCGGGTATAAGTTCATTTGCTCTTGTTCCGGGGTCGGGCCCGTTCGAGTAGGGGTGCTATGCTATCGGGTAAAATGCGCCGTGGAAATTCTCAGCCTTTAAAATTAATTCACCCGACCGGGTATATGGGTGAATTAATATACCCGACCGGGTCAATGGTATACCCGATCGGGTATTCGGTTATTTTTTCACTTCAGGCTCGATCGAGTATAAGGTACCTATCCTCAACCTTTCTTTTTTCATATGCACCCGACCGGGTGAGGGGTGTTACCCGATCGGGTACGGCATCCTGGAGTTTTGTTTTGCTTGGATCCGAATGGGGAGGTGATTATGCCCGATCGGAGGTTTCCCTGAGCTCTCAAAACCTGATTTTTCTCTCCCCTTTCTTTGGAGAATTGTTCCTCATTCTCTCAAAGTTGACATTCAAACTAAATGAAAAAAAAAGAATTGGAAAGAATTACGTACCTTTACTTGGGTTGCCTCCCAAGAAGCGTCTTAGTTAACGTCGCGGCACAACATGCTTTTTTTTTTAGTTTTACGTGGGATCATGAACATCCTTTTTCTCCTTATTCAAGGCCCTGTTTGGCCATTTTTTAATTTTATTTTTTTCGACCTTTTCCAGTAAGGCCGAGCTTTCTTTCTTGCCACCACCTCAACCGCCAGTGATTTCAATTCATGATTTGGAGGTTCGATTAATGGTGATTTATCTAGTGCTTCCTCAATGATCAAGATTGATTTTTTAAATGGAGGGTGATTTTAAATAGAATTATAAATGTTATATTCTATTTTTCTTCCATCAAATTCCATAATTAAAAGTCCACTACAAACATTAATTGTTGAATTATCAATTTGTAAAAATGGTCTCCCTAATAAAATAGGGACTTCGTGTTCATCACTCTCCATTTCAAGTACGTAAAAATCGGCAAGAAACACTAGATCACCTACCGAAACTAGTACATCTTCCACTATCCCTTTTGGGGAAACAGTTGATCTATCGGCCAGTTGAATTATGACACCGGTTTTATTTAAAGGGCCAAGGTTCAAAGAATTATAAAGAGTATAGGGGATCACGTTAATTGATGCCCCTAAGTCTAACATGGCCCTAGAAATGGTGTCTCCTATCTTGCACAGTATAGTGAACATGCCCGGGTCAGTACATTTTTTGGGGAGTTTCTTTTCAAAAACTGCCGAGACATGTTCACTAATTTCAATTGGTTGTTTTCCATTTGAGTGTTGTGTCCTCTTGATTGTGCATAATTCTTCTAAAAATTTAGCGAATCGAGGGACACTTTTAATTAAGTTAAGGAGTGGAATAATTACCTCACATTTGGTGAAGGTTTCATAGATATCCGCATTTCTCTCCAGCTTCCTTGTTTCTTTGAGTGCTTTCGGGAATGGTGGGAGTGACTCGTATGATGACAATGGTGGGAATTTGGCCTTTGTGGTCTTCTCTTCGGGTACTTCTTCTTCAAGGTCAACCCTCTCAACCTTTTCATCCTCCATTTGTATTGGTTTTGACGTCGTTCCGCTTTTCAACATGATCGCATTAACATGTTGTCTCAGATTGTGCTCCATTTAAGATGGGAGTTTACCCGAGTCTTTTGCTTCAAGTCGGCTCACGCATTTGCAATTTGGCTAACTTGAGTTTCCAAATTATTAATGCTTGACTTTGTCTCATGTTGAAATTGTGTCATGGTTTGTTGAAATTGTCCTATGTTTTGTTACATGGTAACCATGTTTGAGGTCAAAGTTCGGATCATGTCATCAGTTGACATACTAGATTGAGAAGATGGGTTGGATTGTTGAGGGTTTTCATACCTCAAGTTTGGATGATCCCTCAATCCAGGGTTGTAAGAGTTTGAGAATGGATCGTACCTCCTTTGTTGATGGCCTTGGAAACCCAAGGCGTTGACTTGTTCTTCTTGGAGGGATGGACACGCCGGTTCGTGCCCAGCACATATAGGATTCTGACCGGCTTCATCGTCCGGTGTCAGGACCTGGGGATTACCCCGAACATCGACCTTTTCTTGTATCATTACAGCTATCAGCCCTAGTAGACCACTGGGTACCTGCGGCTGACTGCCCGTATTGACTGGGCCTTGTTTACTGAAAATCCCACTCCCCGTGAGAAATGGGAGGAGCGTTTCTTATTTGTTCGGGTGGGTGAGCCCCTTCCGTTCCCTGATCGACGGAACACATATCCCGTTCGGGATACTACCCCAGTACTTGATGCCGCTCTACTCTGTCACTATGATCGGCTTCATTTGGATGGCCTCAAGAACCTTCGCTCTTATCTCACCCCATCCAAACTTCTGGCCGCCGGCATTGGTAACTTTTATTCCGTTTTGGGTCGTTCGGTAAGAGTGTTTTTCCTTTTGTTAATTCCTATTTATCATTTTTCTTACAGGTGTAATCCCTCCCGCTTCTACGAAGCGGCCTGCTCCCACTCCCTCCTTGACCGTCCCAGCGGATAAGGGGAAGGGGAAAGTCACTGTTGTTGTCGGGAAGCTGGTTCCTCAACCAGGTTCCTCTGCTAGCCAAGCTGCCGAACAGGCACGGAAGCGCCCAAGGACTGAGAGCGCTGGTCAGCTGGTACCGATCGACCATGTTATTGACTTGACGGTCCCTGACCCGGAACCCAAGAAATTTGTTCCCTCTTTTTCCAGGGATGATTCTGCCGTTGGAAAAAAGGATGATTCCTCTCTTGCCAACCTACCGATGAGTGATCGGATGGTTGTGGAGTTCTCCGCCATGGGCCGTCGTGCCGAGGGCCGGACGCTGTACGGGCAAACTGCATCCTCCCTTTGGTGCAGCACTTCCCTGAAGGCTGGTGAAAATTTCACCAACCTGGTCCATTGGTCTGATCTAGTCGAAGCAGGCCATTTGGAGAGCATCAAGGTATGTACCTCAATCATATTTTCCTAGCATTAGCCTTTTTTGGACTGTTGCTAATTTAATTTCCCTATTTTTCAGGCCGGTACTTATTATCACCTGGCTTTCTTGGCAGCTGAGCGGGAAATGATGCTGCTAGCTCGCGAACGGGATGAAAGTCAAACCCTCCTCGCCGCTGCTCGCAAGATGGCCGTTGATCTCCAAGATCGAGACACTAAAGGTAATAAGGCGGTGGCCGAACTGGCCGAAATGAAAAAACGGATCCAGCGGCGCGATCGGGAAATCCGCACCCTTCGCGCCAAGGTGAAGGTTGCTGAGGATACTGGCCTCAAAATTGAGAACGCAAAAGGTGAAAATCCCCCTCCCCCTTTACGGCCGATGTTTCCAAGATAACCAAACAAGCGGTGATAGATTTCCAGAGGGGGAAAGGCATGGACATTGCCCTGGAAAATACTGCTCGGGAGTTCCTCGGCAAACATCTCGGTGAGTTTTTGGAGAAGTGCGAGGATCCTCTAACTGATGGCCTCAAGCTTCTGGACCAGACGCCTGCCAGAACAACTTTTGCCAATGCCTTGGCCAAGGATACGCTTGTTAAGTGCCAGGACATGCTGGTCGATCGAAATCTTGAGGTGATTAAAGAGCATTTCCTAGAGCCCTTAGATCTCGAGGAGGAAGACTTTGATGTGTTGTTCTGCTGTGCTTACAAGCGGGTCATGGAAAAAACAGAAGGTTAAGGACTCTGTCGAGCCATCAAATTTGAAGCTTGCTTCTTCCCCGAGCAAGGATCCTCCCGTAACATAGTTTCTTCTATTTGTACTTCATTATTTTATTCTTTTGTATTCCCCGGGCGGTAGTGCCGAAGAATAAAGACATCTTTTCCTGTCTTCAAGCTGTTCACCCAACCGTTCAGACATTAACCAAGTTTTGGTTTAAGTGTTTTTATCTAATGTTTGTCACCTTCCAAACCCATAGTTCTGATGCAACTCGTTAGGTTCTTTCGTTCCGGGCCATTCATGCTAAGGGTTTGAGATGTCCATTTTCAAACTAGTAACAGAATCCCCCGCTCGAGTTACCCTTTTGCTTTAGCTAAAATGGAGACTCGCCTCCAAGTTACAGCTCGGTTTCCATCTTAACGATTTCCTTTCGTCGTGGTTTGTTCGAGCTGCATAGCTGAGGCAAGTTTTAAAAACTAGAGTCCCGATCCCCCGCTCAGTCACCGGTGTTACCGAGTGCCGCCCGGTTCGTCTTACACATGGTTTTACATCCACTCCAACTGGCCTGAATCCCTCGCTCGGCCATCTGGAGCATAAGGTCAAGTCCTAGCTGAAATGGTGGCTCCCTCAGATCAAGATGAGGGTTCTCATTCAGTCATCTAGAATGATTGCCATTTGAGCAAGCTGATCGAGGTGAGGCTCCTGGCCATGGTTGTGATAGTGTCGTTTGGTCATTTCGACCTGGTTATCCAACTTTTGGCGTGGTTGTGATAGTGTCGTTCGGTCATTTTGACCCGAATATCCAACTTTTGGCGTGGTTGTGATATGCCGTTCGGCCATTTCGACCCGGTTATCCAACGTTTGGCCCCTTGTGGAAGTTATTTCTCCCTCTTTATGTATCTTTATGTACATAGTATTTTTTTAAGAGGTGGCAACAGCCGTTTTCATTGGTAAAATTTCCGCAAATGTTCAACATTCCATGCTCCTACCGGTCGTCCTTCGGTAGTTTGAAGGCAGAACGTTCCTACGGCATACTACTTCTCGACCCGATAAGGGCCTTCCCAGTTCTTTGCCATTTTCCCGCCTTCCAGCGGTTTGCTCTTTTCTCTTTTCTTCAAAACCAAGTCGCCTACTTGGATTGAACGGATTTTGACTTGCTTGTCAAAGTATCTCTTGGTTGCCCGGTGATATTCTTCCATCTGTAGGGCCGCGAGATCCCTTCTCTCTTCTATAAAGTGCAGTTCAGCACGCAAGTTGTCTTCATTGCGTTCGGGATCATAATGGATTGTTCGGTGCGTAGGCACCAAAACCTCAGTTGGGACTTTGGCCTGGAACCCGTAGGCAAGGGCGAATGGCGTCTCTCCTGTTGCCTTTCGGGGTGTTGTTCTGTAGGTCCAGAGAATGTAATTCAGCTGTTCGGGCCAGATGGATGCATAGTCTTCTAACATTTTTTTCATGCCATCCATGATGGTTCTATTCATGTTCTCCACCTGGTCGTTCGCCTGGGGGTAAGCCACAGATGCCCTGGAATGCTTGATCCCCCATTTGATGAGGAAATCTTCAAAATTTCTGCTCACGAACTGCCTTCCATTATCAGTGACAACCTGCTCGGGGAGACCGAACCTGCAAATGATGTTCTGGCATACAAATCTCTGGCATTGGAAATCTGTTATGCTGGTCAGGAGTTCGGCCTCCACCCATTTGGTGAAGTAATCAATTCCCACGGTGATGTACTTCCCTCCTACCGAAGCTGTAGGTAGGGGCCCGAGCAAGTCGATCCCCCACCTAGCAAACGGTAATGCAATCGTCATTGGAGTATAGAAGGTCGCAGGCCGTCCGGGGACCAGTGCATATAGCTAACATACTTTGCACTTTCTGGTATGGGCAAAACAGTTCTGCTGTATGGTCGGCCAATAGTATCCCTGTAGGATGATTTTTCTGTCCAAGGTCTTCGGCCCTTGGTGACTCGAACATATACCTTCGTGTATTTCTTCCATCACAGCAGCTGCCAAACCGGGCGAGAGGCATTTTAGTTAAAGCCCCCGAACGTTTTCTTGTACAGTTGTCCATCCACCAGCTCGAACATTGGGGCCCTCCTTTGGATGCATGTTATGTTGTATGCATCGTTCTTGTCGCCCGGCAAGGTACCATCCTTCAGGTAGTTGGTCATGTCTGTGACCCAACTTGGTACTGCATAGGATATGGCATCTACCCGAAGGGTCATTGTTGCTGGTGTGGCCAATACTTCCCGGTGTGCAAATTTCTGAATGTGTGTGGGGATCATCTGAGCCCGTTCATCCAACGCAGCATTTTCTAATTTTGACAGAACATCTGCATCGGCATTTTCAATTCTGGAGACTTGGTCGAGCACCACCTGTTCGAATTTACTGGTTTGCTCCTCGACCAGCTCCTTATATGCCTTCATTCTTTCTTCTTTGGCCTCTGCGGACCCGTTCACCTGGTTGACTACCAGTTGGCTATCAGATCAGACCTTCAGCCGACCAGCACCCAGGGCTTTAGCATATTTTAAACCTGCAATAAGTGCCTCATATTCGGCCTCATTGTTAGTTACTTTAAAATTGAAGTGCATAGAATAATATGTTGTAAACGCTTCATGAGATGTGATCACAGCTCCCCCACCGCAGTCTTTGGCATTGGACGCTCCGTCGACATACATTTCCCACCAGTCGTTCATGATCTCCCCATTGGAACCTTCCTTCGTTGGCCGAACAGTACATTCTACTATAAAATCTGCTAAAGCCTGGCCCTTAATAGTGGGGCGAGGCTTGAAATCTACCTCGTACTGCCTGATCAGGAGGAACCATTTGGTGATGTGTCCGTGATCGGTGTATTTTTTTTTTAGTGATTAAAACGTAGTTGGCTAATCCGAAAGAATAACCAGACCACGAGTATCGTCTCTCAAGGAGTGGCAAAAAGGAAGTTTTTAAATACAATCCGTGATCACAGGCTAACAGAAGTCATGGTAATCTTTCCAAATAATTATTTTTGGGTGATAAAATAAAATAAAATAAAAAAAACTAACTAACAGCGAGTGCAAAAATAAGTAAAGTTAAAGAAAAACAAATTAAAGTGATTCTATATTTTAAAACAGTGTTCAAATTGGATGGTTCGGGTTCTGGGTGTTCTTTCGGGATTAGAATTGAGTAAAATTAATTTTTAATTATTCCTGGAAAGAAAATGAAATAAATTCTCAAAGACAAGAATTAAATCATATTAACACAATCTTAACTTATTTCTAAGATCAGATTGCTTGTATAAGATCCGAGCTAATTTAACTCAAATTCTCATAGACAAGAATTGAATTAAACTCAAAAAAAATCATACATGAGGTGATCAAATTCATATACGCAATAAAGATTAATCTTATACAATTTTCCAGAAAATTAATTGAATTTCAAAAACTAAATTCACACCTTCAAGAACCCATGAACCCTAGCCCCGATTCAAACCCTATATGGAATTAGCTACTCATAACTAAAATCAACATCACAGTATTATGATTAAGCATGATAAGGGCTAGAGAAATAATTGATTTATGAGTAATCAATGGAAAAGTCTGAAACTATCTGTTGTAGACAACCGAACTCCAAATTCAATCCAAATCAAGAACTAGTCAAGTAAAAAAGGCTAACACTTACAATTCTTGTTTAGAATCTGAATTGAATTGAATTGAAATAAAATGAGAAAAAGTGAAGTTTATACATTCCTTGGTCTCTTGTTTGCTGCTACGGTTGATTCTCAAGAGAAGGAAAGAAATCACTGTTACGGCTAAGTGTAGAAAAGAATTGATTATCTCCTGGCGGCTGCTGGTGCGTGCTTGGAATAGGAAAAAAAATGAACTCCTAAACTGCGGCTAAGTGAACAGA